ACCTGGCCTTGAACACTTCCAGAGATGGGGCAGCCACAGCTCCTCTGGGCAACCTGTGCCAGGGCCTCACCATCCTCACCATCAGGAATTTCTTCCCAATATCCAACCTAACCCTGCCCTCTCTCAGTCTGAAGCCATTCCCCTTTGTCCTGTCACTCCATCCCCTGTTAAAAGTCACCCATCACTGTGAATATTCCCCCCAGCATTGCCACTGAGGGATAACGGGTCCGTAGCCACCTGGCCAGCTCACCCCACTTTCTGCTGGATGAGCAACAGGCGGGATTTCAACACGAACCAACCTGGCAGAGAAACCCAGTGCCTGGGGCCAAACACTTTGGAGGCTAAAAATAAACCAGCAGCAGTGGGGAGCTACTGAGGTCCCTCCTCTGCTCCTGCCCACCACCCCAGCAGCACATTTCCCTGGCACAGGGGCAGCACGATGGAGTAAAGCCCCAGCCTGGTTCCCCCAGCGAGGAACTGAGTGATTTTCCTGGCTGAAAACTGCTGCTGTCGTAGAATTTCCTTTCCTTTCCCACAGAATTCCACCCGCCACCACGTACCCCCGTAACTACAAATCAATATGTTTATCATTTGCTCTTAAACTAATGCCCATTAATTCCCTGCATTACTGTCGAGCAACAGAGCCAATTTTGTGGCTTATTGTAAAAGAGCAGAAAATGATGATGCCGGAGTGAGTTTAAAAATCCACAAAATAGATCACAGTGGGTGGGACATGGTTCCTGGGAAAAGAGCATCTTCCTCTCCCCGCACCCTCTCTGCAGCCTGGGTGCCGTTTTGGCACCCTTGCCGTGGCTCCCACACCTTCACTGGAGTCCCACCGTGGCCTCCAGAGCACCAGGACCATCCCCCTGATCCCAACCCAGCCCCAGCAGTGATGCTGCTGCACCGACAGGGCTCCGAGCGTGACGGATTGCTCAGCTATTGCAGCTGGCATCAAAAATAATACAGTGTTAGTTCTGCACATGGGCAGTGCTAAGGGAACCCTGAAAGCCAATCTTCCCCAAAAATATTAAAAAAAAAAAAAAGGGCTAAGATGCTTTTCTGAAACAACCTCACATTGTTAAATCTGCTTCATGATTTCAAGGTTTGCCAGTGCTGTGGCTGGGCTGGCCTGGGAGCGCTGCTGCAAGAAGGGACACTTGGCTCTGTATTTCTCTCCCAATTTCTCTCCCAGGAGTCCATGTCAAGCCATTTCCACCCAGGACACATGCTGTGCACCCACATGTGCACTTTACACACTTTATGCAGGTTGCAGCCATACCCCAGGACCTTCATAAATCTCCAGCTTAGCAGAACCCTCTGAATGGCCCCACAAGGCTCTTAAGCACAATCCCAAGTCCCACCGTGGCCCTCAGCTCTGAGCACTTGGCCCAAGCTAAGCTCAGGTTTAAATCCCTGTAGAAGAGGGGTTGTCAGATGTGATCCAGGGAGGATGGTGGTTCCTTCAAGTCTCAGGAGTTACCACCTCGAGGGACACAACACAAAACTGCATCTCTGAGCTACCCCAACGAGGCAGGAGGAAGATTAATAAATTAATTATTATAAAGCACTTTGAGGGCTTTTGGATGAAAGGATGCATAGAAGTACAAAGAATTGCATAATTTATTATTCAGTATTAGTCTCCCTAGGCATTGGCTTCTCCTGCATGCTCCTGTGTGGCACCAACCTGGCCTCTGAGGAGGGTTAAATCCTCACCCCTCAGCCTGGTTCTCCCCACCAGCACTGCTCCAGCACCTGGCAGATGGGTGAGCTTGGCACTGCCAGGTATTCCTGAGCGCTCAGGTGCCTGGGGATGCAGAAGTGCACATGGTGATGGGTCCAAACCAACAGAACCTGGGCAGCCAGCACTTCAAAGAAGCCCTCAGATGTCCTTCTCTGCCTTTAGGTGTCCAAATGCCATTAAAATCTGGCCCCCAGCACTGTAAGTCAGGAGCAGAGTGGGGAGAGGAGCCAAGAGACAAGGTTTCCAGGCTCCTGCCTTTCCATGTCCGGTTCCCAGCAGGGCCTGGGACAACCTGCTCTGCATACACGCAGTAAAACATTTCTCCCCGCTCACAGAGGCCGCTGACGGCAGCTCTGCAGCATCCCCGGCTTAACCACCTTGCCTACAATTGTCCTGGCACATGAAACATCCCAGACTTCTCTCCTGGCTGTTCCCACCACCTGCTTGTCCCAGGATTGCTATGACCAGTGAAACACCATAAATAGGAGATGGAAGTCCCAGGGGGGAGAGGGGACACAGGAAGCCACCAGGCACTGGAATACCACTGAGGAGACACCAGCACGGACTGCAGTGTCCCATGGATGAGATAAATGTGCAGAAAAGCTGCATGGGGTGGGGAGAGGGGGGGTGACATCTCCCCATCCCTCTGATCCTGCAGAACCGAGAAGGGGCTTTTTGTTATTTGCTTCGTTTTGTGTGGCAATCACACGAACAGAAAATGATGCAATGGGAGGAAATCCCAGCGTGGGAGAAGCCCTTCACATACCACAGCCACGGCTCACGCTGCCACGGGAACCTCCCTGGGATAAAAGTGGGTCCCCATCATCACCTGCCAGTTTCAGGCTCCCAGAGACATCTGCCCAGATGTGCTGTAGCAGCAGCAGAAGCAGCACCATGCACGAGGCAGGGATGGCACCTGCTCAGCAACGCGGCAGCCAGAACATGGGATGGGCACCACAGGCCAGGGATGCTCTTAGGATGGTCACCAGCATCTGACAGAAAGGTGCCGAAATACCACTGTGCTGTGGAGCAAAACCTTTCCCAAGCAGGCCCCCAGAAATTCTTGAATATTCCATGGATTTGTGGGTATGATTATCCCCTGCCCCGGCTGTTCCAACAGCCACAGCACGGGGGTCTGATCAGTCCCTCCCGCCGTACTCAGCACAGCCCTGCCCTCCTACCTGCCTCTCCTCTGCCTGGATTCCCCAAAACACAGAAGGAAATTAATATCTTTCCAATCTCCCAGGGTCTGAAGATAAATCAGAGGCTCTCAGCCGTGCCTGGGAGGGCCCTGTGAAGTGCTTTGCCAGACAAGGGAATGCACACTCGCCTTGACAGCTGTTGAAAAGGGGCAGAAACGCTCAGCAAAAGTAATTAATCCCAGAGACGAGAGGTGGAATGAGCAGAGATCAACAAACAGAGCCTGGAATTAGCGACGGCTCTCCCTGACAGGCACCACACCACCAGCCACACGCTGCTGGAGCACGTTGGGATGCTGCACCAGGCTCTGGCCATGCCAAGAGCCATGTGCTGCCTCGTGGTATGGCTGCCAGGTGCTGCTGCCTCACCTGCACAGGTACATGGGTCTGTTGCACCTTGGCAAAGAGGCAGTGAGAGGTCCAGAGCAGGCAGGCAAACCCACAGGCAGGCTGGGAACTCACCAAGGGAGAGATGGGAGAACCATAATCTTTCTTGGAAAGGGTGCAGTGGAAAGAGGAGGGCACCCGAAAGAGAGGAGCAGAAAGTTGGGAATGAAGTGATGCAAAAGGCAGTGACTCTCTGCTGGCCTCATCCAGCGAAGAAACATCCCTGTGCCTACAGATGATGGTTTCAGCAGCACTGTGTTTGGGTGCAGGTAAGACAAGGGACATCACTGCCCATGTGCCCCACATCGACTGCACCTTCCTGGCCCAGAGAGGAGCCACCCCAAGGGTGCAGAAATCCCAGCACACAGGAGATCACCAGCAGACCAGGCTGTGCTGGGGCTGGCTGTCCCCAGATCCCTCTCCACCAGAGATCAGATCATCACAGTGGCTGCAATTGCAGCACAGCAATAACTGTACCTGGCCCGGTGTGGCTGCACTTGCTGTGGGTGACAGCTGCAGTGAGGACACCAAAACCCAGGGCTCAGCTCCAGCTCCAGCTCCAGCTCCAGACAGGGGCTGTGCCCAGCCAGCACTGCCTCTTTCTCACTATTTCTTCTCCCTGAGCACTTTGAGGAAGCCCAGCTGGGGTACCCCAACCATCACACCCTCTCTGGCTACGAGGACATGCCCCCACCGCAATCTGCCCTCCTCCTGCCTGCTCTGCCACGGCAGAGAGCAACCCCGCGTGTAGGGTTGTGCAATGCACCAGTATTGCCTCTTCTCCATATGGGAGAACTTGCTGCATCCTAATCTATTGCCTTTTTGGGTAAGCGCTGCCGTGGGACTGCAGCAATGACAGCGGGGAGAGCTCGCAGGTCTGCTGCACGTTAAGGGAATATCTGCGACCTGCAAGCGGGGAGGCAAACTTGAGCCACCAAAGCCTTTGTTTCCTTTGTGCATCCTTCAGGAAAAAAAAAAAACAACCCTGATTTTGCTAAAACTGGACGGCTCAGGCACCAGCCACGTTAATAAGATTAACGTGGAGGTCCAGACGGGAAAGCCACTCGCTTAGAAAATCAGGTTATTAAACCGACACTGAGCTACTCAGAAAAATACCGAACTCGCCGGTGTGGGTCTCTTCACTTCAGAGCGCAATAACAAAGGGAACCCCTACAACTAACGCACCCAAACTTTGGAAGCCACCCAGACGCTCAGCTCCCCGCTCCGGGAGCTGCTGCCTGGCTCCGAGGAGGACAATCCCCGCGGCGGGCCCTGGGTACCGGGGCCGGGCAGCCCGGGGGAAGGATGCTCGGGGCATGGGCGGGGGGCCGGCGAGCGGACATCGGGGCGCGTGCTCGTGCGGCGCGCGGGCGGGCAGGGATGGGCCGTGGCCCCGCCGTTCCGGAGGCTCAGGATAGCACGGAGGATGGTTTATTTTTGTAATTAAAACGGCGCTTCCCATGGGGGCTCGCTGCTCCTCTCCGTGTCTCGCTGCCTTATGGGTTTTTTCCTCCTCCAAGGCCATCCTGATTCTTCCACACAGCCGGCGAGCTGGCGCCCTCGGTAGCGGCCCCCGCAGGAGCCGCCGCTTTCGCCGCTGGCAACCGACCCGGGGAGCGGCGCACGCGGACCCCGACCCCAGGATCCCGGCGAGCCGCCCGGGGGACTCCAGTACGTTTTCCTGGTCAGTCTCCACACTTCAAGGCTTTTACTTGCTGTTGGATTTTGCCCTGGTGGCGGCAAGGCCTCTGAGCCGCCGCCTCCCGGCCTGTGCGGGGGGAGCGGCGGGGCCGCTGCCTCGCGGGGCTGCCCCGGACCCGGCTTACTCCCGGGGGGCGGCCGCGGCCGGCGGGGGGGGGCGGCGGAGAGGGGTCTTTGTTGGCGGGGCTCGCCGACAGAGCCGCGCTGCGGGGCGCCCTGCGTGTGGCCGTGTCGTGTGCGTCGTCGGTGTAGGTGTCCGTGGTGCGTTGCCGTGAGCGTGTACCGTTCGCGTTGTCCCCGGCTACAGCGCGCCCTCCCCGCCCTCACGCCGCGGGCGCGGGGAGCGGACGCGGAGGGCGCGGAGGGGCGGGTGGGGGGCGGCGCGCCCCGCCCCGCGTTGCGGAGTGGGATGGGGAGTGCGCGATGGGGGGGGGTGAGAGAGGAAGGAATTCCGGCCGGCCCGCGCTCCATGGAGGGAGGGGGATTCCAGAGCGGCCCCCGCCCCGAGCCGCTCCGCGGGGATCAGCGGGATCAGCCGGAGAGAAGGACTGGGGGGGCGCTGGGGGTCGGGGCGCTGCCCCGGGGGGTGATGGGCAGCTGAGGGGTGAGGAGAGAGGGGATCCGGGAGCTGGCGGTGGGAACACGGAGGATGGAGCGAGGCTGAGCTCGGAGCGCGGGGGTGACCTTGGTGGGACAGCAATACCTCCAGCTGTAGAAGCACCTTCCGACCCCTTCGTGCCCCAGCTGAAGAGGGGTCTGCTCATGACTTGGAGGAATTGGATCCTTGTGGGTCCCTTCCAGCTCAGGATATTCAGGCTGAGAGAACTGTGGGTGTTCAGACTATGGAAGAGAAGGCTCTGGGAAGACCTTAGAGCCCCTTTCAGTGCATAAAGGGGCTACAAGAGAGTTGGAGAGGGACTTTGGACAAAGGCGTGGAATGACAGGACAAGGAGGAATGGCTTCAAACTGAAAGAAGGCAGGTCTAGATTAGATATTAGGAAGAAATTCTTCCCTGTGAGGCCCTGGCACAGGTTGCCCAGAGAAACTGTGGTTGCCCCAGCCCTGGAAGTGTTCAAGGCCAGGTTAGATGGTGCTCTGAACAACCTGGTGTAGTGGAAGGTGTCCCTGCCCATGACAGGGGGGGTGGAAGGAGGTTAAGATCCTTTCCAAGCCAAACCATTCTGTGACTCTACAGTTCTCTCAGCCCAGGGCTCCTGTGAGCCTTCACTCACTCTCTGCAACATGCATATAGAGAGACCAAATTCAATGGCTTCAAAAAGCCCACAGATTCAACCTACAGCAGGTTTGTGGTGCAACCAGGAAACCATAGAAGAGCTAAAAGCCGTGGCACCCAGCTTTTCCACCACCTCAAACCCATGCAGGGCTTTATGCCTCCACAAAAGCTCTCTGTGTCTGTGCAGTCATTAGCTGTACCGATGCACACGATAAATACAGTTTTCTTCCCGCCTGTGTTGCAATGAGGGCCCTGCTGGAGCTGCCCAGGCATGCCTGGACTGCTGTGGTAGCAGCCAAGGAGGGGGAAAATCTGTGCCTGGATACAGTAAAACCTGTCTGCAAGGCTGCAGAGGGCCCAACACAACACTTACTGAGGGCATTTGCAGAGGGGACAGGGAAGTGCAGCTGACACAGCGCTGCTCTCCCCACCTTTATTGTTTTTAACCAGCCAAATGTTGCCTGACACTCACTTCTCCAGGGATACGTTCCCCAAGTGGATGTTTCTGAAACACCTCCTCTTCTGTTCCCCAGCCTCACACAAACGAGCTCGTTATGGCAGAAGGGTATAAAAACACCATCACCGTGTCCCAGCAGCGGCACACCCTGGGGGCGAGCTGGAGGGACAGCACTGAGCAATGGGGGACTGGCAACACGTGGCAGTGGGAGCTCTGTGAGGCTCCTGCCTTCCCTCCAACCCCCTCCCAGCCACTTCTAACATTTGCAGAGCTTTTAGGGACAAAGGCCTGCCCGTGACTCCAGCACAGGCCTCAGCAGATTCCAGTTTGTGCTGCAAAACGCCCTGTGCAACCCCTTCTTTGCTGCCCATCAGCAAAACACCACATTTTGCAGTGTTTCCCTTCCTCTGTGGTCCCTGGGCTGTAACTGTGTCGCAGCAGGCGTGTCCTGATGTGTGCAGAGCACAACCTGTCCTGCTCCCAACTAGGGGGACCAGCGAGGTCCCAAACCTGCCCTGCACAGCACAGGCATTTTAGCACAAGCTCTGCTGCTGCAAAACTGATGTTAAAGGGATTTAATTCTATTTAAAACTCTACCCTGCCTCCACCACGGGGAATGCTGAGGAGAGAGCTCAGATCACACAGAGGAGAGGAGAAAAGTAATCGGAAACTGTGCAAGCCAGTCACTTTCGCTTCCTAATTATTAGCTTTAACCCTATTATTGTTTAAATAACAACACCAGTGGCCTTTTCTGGGATAAAGTGACATTTCTACAGCCAGAGAAACACAGCCCTAGCCCGGAAAGACTCCTGGGGCTGATGGGATTGAAATCTAAACAGTGACGGGGCACAAGACAATCACGTCCAGCTGAGTGTGGTCAGTGTGCCGGGGAAGGAGTTGGGTTGTTTGCTCAGAGAGAAAAAATACAGGGCCAGCTCCTGAGGGAACTTTTGCTTTATAAATCCCCCTGGCGCTCTCTTCCAAGGCAGACCTCGGGCAGTGCTCGCATCCCCTCACCACCAGCGGCTGCAGGACGAGCCCAGAGCCTGCCCAGCCCTGCCCCGGGCTGGCTTTTTGATTAGGCAACAGCGTGTGCCGCTCGCGGTGCGCCCGCTGTCTGCTCACCGGATTGCAACGCGCTGCCATGGAAATGATCATCCCCTGGGCGATATTTGCTGTCGCTGCTGCGGTCAGAGCGGGGTCCTGCTAAAAGGGAAGCTTTTACCTCTCCTGCCACGCCAGCGCTGGAGGTTGGGATGGGATCTGAGGATGCTCCACGCACTGACTGTAAAAACTGGGAGCTGCGTGGGCTGCACAGCCGAGTGTGTGTCTGCAGGAAGCTTTTCCTTCCCTGGGTATTTACTTGAAAATGTTTAATAAAACCCCCGAGTTCTTTTCCCCCCAGGACACAGCAAAGTCTGTCAGGCTCAGCCACGCAGCCTTTTGTTCCACGTGGGCTCAACCACAGCACACACATTTAATCAGCACCCTCAGACGCCATCACGGGGGTTTTCCCCAACGCATCCTTCCTGATTTAATTCTCAGGATTGCAGTTGCCTCGTGGGAATAGCACTGCATCCAAGCAGCGAGGTGCATTTCCCTGACTGAGTGTTCTTACTCTCTGTGCTTCCTCGCAAAAGGTTGTTTTTGTCCTCCTTCATCCCCCTCACTGCTGTGCTGTGACCTGAAAAATCAGTGGTGTAACACAGCCCAAGCACAGGGCTGTCTGAACCCCACCTTGGGCACGGCTGGAGCTGTTTGTGGGGCAGCAAATTGAGGATGGAGTAAGTAGTGTCCAGGCTCAGCCCATCCCCTGCCTTTCTCCTCCACTTCCCAGGGCTGGATGAGGCTCCACACAGGGTCTACTCAGGCTTCAGACTTCACCAACCCCCTTTTTCCTGCTGCATCACTAAACCCCACACATCCATCTACCCATCACTGTCATCTCTGTGGCCATCTCTGTCACTCCCAGACCCGTCAGCTTGTGAACATCCCCCTTCCACATCCACCCACCCAAAATCAGATGAAGAAGATGCTCCAAAACCAAGACCACATGAGTGAGGAATCTGTGACTGCAGACACCAACAGCAAAGGCAAACAGCTTTTGCCTGGCTGTGAACTCACAAAGCAGAGCACACACAGCCTGTACTTTGTGCTTTCTTTTTGTGGAAAAGCCAAGTTTTGCTAAGAGCTTTCTTGTGCCAAAGCAGGGAGTGGGTCAGCAGGGGAGTGGTGAAGCCTCAGAGCCTGGGATGGGGAAAGAACATACACACACAGAAGATTAATTATAACAACTGCAAAAATAGTTGCTATTTTAAGGTTAATGCTTGAGTGATCTGACTCAGTCAGAAAAAGAGCCAAAGGAATTATTGGCATCAGTGCTGGCTGCTCCATCAGACAAGCTGTGGTCACCACTGGCACTGAGAGCCACCAAAATAGCTGCTTTTTGAGAGGATTTGAAAAAAAAAATGCCAGCAGAGTGAGTTCAACATCCTGGTGCAACAACCACAAACACAGGAACACATCAGCTAGTTCTGGGGACATCCTCAGCTTCCTAGGCATCACCCTCATCTCAGATTACAGCAGTTTTACATGTGGGTATGATCTCAAGACTCTGAGCAGCTTTAAATGGTGCTCCTCAGCTTCCAGCTCACCAGCCAGGGTGTTCCTGAAGCTCCTTTAAGCTTGACAAGATGGGAGTGAGCTGCTCTTGCTTCGCCCCTGGTATCACTGCAGGTCACAGCAAGTGCCCAGTGCTGGCATTTACAACTGCAACTGCTTTGATAGCTGAGCCATATATAGGACTAAATAAGAAAGCCCTCAAAAATCAAGATTTATAGCCCAAAACACTCTGAGACTTGAACTGTACCAGCCCTACTGGCTATGACCACTATAAATTAACTTCATATTGCACAGCATTTTAGTGTCAATACATTGCATGGCTCCAGAGAAACGCAACAGACACAAAAACATACCATGTTTTTGGGTAAATGGCAGCAGGAATGGTGCCCTGCAGGCTCTTTCCCCAGGAAACTGGAATTGTAGATGTTGAAACGATGGCCAAATGCAGAGGAAAGTCTGGAAATCACAACTGTGCCAAGGCTGCACACACAGCTGTCGCTCAAGACAGGCAGCCGAGGCGCTGAGCGTTACAATTTGCTACACTATTAATTTCTCCGTTAAATTGTAGTATATTTTTTAAAGCCTGTATTCTCATTACAGCCTCTGGGGCTGTAATTGTTATGCTAATGTAGGAACCTGGGAAGGGTGGCTGTGGTGAACTCCTCGGCTGCTCTCCCGTTGCCTGCAGTGTGCAGGCAGCTCTTGGCTGAGATAAAGCCGAGCAGGAGGAGGTTCTGTGATCTCCCTTCCATCTTCCTTCGTGGCACATCACAAATCACAGCTGGCAACTGGGGGAACCACCCTCTGGTCCTGCTCCTGCCACGCTCGTCCTGCAGTGCAGGGACGGGAGAGCTCAGCCCGGGCACCTTGAGCCTCCAGCCAAGGTTTGATACCAGACACGGGCAGCGCATTTGTTCAGGGACTGAAAATAAAAGGCTCCTCGTAGCGACAACCCAGCGAGCGCTGCGCGGTTGTGTCTGTGTGAGATAAGATCACAGTCGCAGAGGCAGCAGCAGCGTTTTTGCAGCAAAGGCGCCCCGCAGCATCCACCAGCACCCTCGGGGCTGGCAGAGAGGTAGGAGAGGCTGTGAGCACACACTGTGCAGGTGACCTGAGCACTGCTCACCAGTTCTGCCCAGCTTCAGCTGGGGTTTTTAA